ATGATAATCCCATGTCAAAGCTGAGAGCTCTGTTCTGGGATACCAGTGTTGCTCTGGGCATCTGTGTCAGTTACTTTTATCATTGTTGTGACCAAATACTTGAAAAGAAACACCTTAAGGGAGAAGGCTTTATTTTGGTTATGGCTCAAGGGACATAGTCTATCATGGCAGGGAAGGGAATTGAGGTGGCTGGTCACATGGTCTCCATAGTCAGGTAGCACACAGAGAGATACCCAGCTTTCTTTTCTTTTTTATTCAGCCCAGGACCCCAGGCAGCTCATAGGATGGTGCTACCCACAGTTAATTTACCTAGAAAAATTTTTTCTATTCATTTATTTAGCTCATAAAGTCATGAACAATTATGATACACAATACAGTATGTTCACAATGGCATGGCTAAATTAAACCAATTAGCATGTTATATCACACATAATCATCATTTTTGTTTTGAGAACACTTAAAGTATACTATCTCACAACTTTTAAAATATAGCATATTGTTATCAACCATATTTATCATGCTCTCAGTAGACCTCAACACTTCACAGAGTCCATGCCTCTTGTCCAACTGCAGTTTTATATCCTTAAACCAATTGTTTTTACCTAGAAAATTAATCTAGAAAATGCCCATAGATACATTCAGAGACTTGTCTTATTGGCGATCCCAGATGCTGTAAAGACGACAATACTGTCCCTGCATCCTTTCAAAAGAAAACTAGAATGACTCTTTGATGACAAGATTTTTGATCACTGTATGCTTCTGTAGGGACAAATGGTTGCTCAACTGACAAACGTTTCTGCAGAATTGCTAGTCTGGCTTTCAATTCCATGTGAATTCAGATGCTGAGCAAACATGGTAGCTAACTCTTTTCAGCTAATGTTAGACAGTGAAACACCAGCTCTGATTTTTGCTGCTGTTGTTTACCTCTGGAAATAAGACAAAAACTAACATACACTGAGCTGTCTGATGTCGTCCAGAATCCATTAAAATGTTCTGCTACAATCCAGGCCTGGGAGCACACTTCTGCATACCTGGCATTGGGAAGGCTAAGGTAGGAAAGTCAAGAGTTCAAGGACAGCCTGTCTGAAAAAGCCAAAGGCTAGGGTGTTGGCTTAGCCTGGGATATGAACATAGAGGTTGAGCACATATCTCTAACATGTGCAAAGACCTAGATTCAATCCCTACAATGTAGCCTTAGCCCTGCATTTTACAAGCCTTAAACTTTTTCAAGGGAGAGAAACTTTTAAGTGAGTATTGCTGGAGGAGGTTGTGGTTATTTCCAAGTAGAATTTGGATAGAAGGTTATTAAAGAAATAAGAGTTGGGAGTGGAAAATAAAAGGTGTAGTGACAGGAAAATGGGTGAAAATAGGGCTATCCACACCTGGAGTGATGCTGGCTATCACTAAGCCCCAGTGAATCTCTGCCTTTGCCTCCTACAAATGACTGTGTGAACATGCCTGGATTTTTATATGGGTTCTGGGTATTTGAACTTGGATCCCCAAAGTTCACAGAAAGAGCTTTTACTCACTGAGGCATCTCCATAGCTCCTAATGTAATTTTTTTTTTTTTTTTTGGTTTTTTCGAGACAGGGTTTCTCTGTGTAGCTTTGGAGCCTATCCTGGCACTTGCTCTGGAGACCAGGCTGGCCTCGAACTCACAGAGATCCGCCTGCCTCTGTCTCCCGAATGCTGTGATTAAAGGCGTGTGCCACCAACGCCCGGCCCTAATGTAATTTTTTTATTGGTGTTTATTTATTGTGTATGGTGATGGGTTTGAAAAAGACAGTTTATTTCAAGTATATCATGTAGTTTCACCATTTATCCTCTCAAACCTTCTTCATCTCCTTTGCCCCTTTCTCCTTCTGATGGCCCCTTTCCTTCCCCTTGTCTCTCTTTTTTTTTAATTTCACAGTTTTAGAGGTCATATATGTGTGGGGACACCTTAGCCCTTAATGTCTCATTTGAGGGGCAGCTCAATCCTCCCATTCTTAAGCATCGAGCCAGTATCTGTCAACTGTCTTGGAAAATTTCACTGAGTCTTATTTCTGTTATACCTACAAACATTCCACAGAGGCTCAGGTGTGACATAGGGCAAGAGAATGCTACAAATTGCAAACACGGCTGATTCTTTTTCAATGAGGTTACCCCAGATACACCTATCATGAGTTGAAAAAATTGTCCACAGGAAAGTGCATTTAATATGCCTAATATTGAACATCATGACCTACTCTATCACAAACATCCTTAGAACACTTCCATTAGCCTATAGTCTGCAAAATCATCCAACCCGGCACCTGTTTTATAATTATACACTGAGGATCTCTCACACACATATAGATAAGTATTTTGTTAACACAATGGTATGTTAAACACAAAATACAGTATCCCAAAATACTTCCAATGTACCATACTGAGGCAGGTGTTTCCAGCCCTTTTTATTGCAACATAGTCATTTTCAAAATTTTCATGCTCATAAGCCATTCAATTGGGTTTTAAAATTTACAAGGATATTTCATAATGTTTTAACTAAGCTTACACTTTTATGTTGGGCTGCATACATAACCATCCTCAGCTATAGGTTAGATATACCTGCTAGAGTGTTGGTTGTATATGCCCTTGGTTGCAGGGTTGGTCTGAAGTTGCAGATGGAAATGGCTGTCCTGCATCATGGAATATCAACACAGCAACTAATATTGCTGGGGGGAAAATAAAACAAATCCCTAAACTCAAAGTATGGTCTCTCTCAAATGTGTATTGCTTTGGTCCACTATAAAGGCAATGGTCTGTAAGTGAACCCTTATGAGGGAGGCCCTGCAACAGACAGTTCAGAACTTCTACCAAGGCATGTAGCTAGCAGTGGGCAAATGTGGATTGCAGCCCAGCCCTCTCCTTCCTTAGCACCCTGCTCCACCCATCTATCCCATGTGTCTTAAGTCTCATTTCACTCATAAATAGATTATTTCACTGCTAGCGATGCTAGAAGTCGTAAAAACATGCTTGTCTCCAAAGAACTTCTGATCACATTGAGAAACTGACTAAAAAAGTAAAACAAGTACTATGTCAGTACCCTGGTTCAGGGTAGAGGGAGAAATCTCAATCTAAAGAAGGCAAACTAGCCGGGCGTTGGTGGCACACACCTTTAATCACAGCACTCGGGAGGCAGAGGCAGGCAGATCTCTGTATGTTTGAGGCCAGCCTGGTCTCCAGAGCGAGTGCCAGGATAGGCTCCAAAGCTACGCAGAGAAACCCTGTCTCGGAAAAAACAAAAAACAAACAAACAAAAAAACCAAAAAAAAAAAAAAACAAAACAAAACCCAAAATAAATAAATAAATAAATAAATAAAGAAGGTAAACTATACTTGTTTGTGTTGCTGCTGTGAAACTCAACTAGTGAACCCTTGATGGAAAGTAAGACATAAAGGTGGGGGGTGGTGAATATGATCCTGCCTAGCATGGCAGGATAAAAGTGTGAGAGAGGAAGAAGATGGAGACCTGTTCAAGCCCTCAAATAACAGCAACCAATACCCTCCCCTCTTCAATAACCTGATGTCATCCATTGCAATGTGAACTCTCCATTCACAGTCATTCCTCCCCCAGGGGAAATAGTGGAAATGATTTTAGGGGATCTGGTTTTCTTCCTTAGTGAGAACTGTCGTGGCATATACAACTTGCTTGTTGCCAGGTTTCTATGTAGTTTCTGTGTGGAAACCTTGCTGGAGTAGCTGCTTTCTTCCTGCTGGTTGTGTGCTTTTTAAAATGCTGGTGATTAGGCTAATTAAATGATTAATGTTAATGACGAGGATCTTCCTTTCATTTATTTCACAGTGGCAACAAGTTTGCTTGTTTGAACTCTTAATTTCTCTGCTGAACAAGCAACATTGCTCTAAGAGCAAGTGGGGTGTTTTAAGAAGGAGCAGCAGCTTAAACCAGAATATCTACTGTTGCCTTTTTTAAAATTTTTTTAATTTTTAAAATTTTTTTTGTAGTCAAGTGTATTCCTCTGTGCTTTCACTTAGCTACAATCGGTTGTAGGGGCAGGCACTTCCCTGTTCTGGCCACAGAAGCCCATTTCTCACCTTATCCATTTAGATGGGACTGCCAGAGACATAGAATAAGTCTTTGGAGCAATTACCTTTTGCAAGATGGCCTAAGCACATTAGCCAAGCTGCATTAGACATGTACAGGGCGAAAAGACTTCCCCCAGGTTCTAAAAGGTCAAGCATGGGAGGTCCATAGGCAATGAGCCTTCCTGTGGCAAAACAAGAACAGAAGCAACAATTTATAATCAAGATACATAAATTCATTTCCGGGCTAACATCCACACAGGTCTAATTCTGATTGTCTTTTCTGTCCCCCAATACTTGAATGGCATTAAAAGGGACAATGCTGCTTGTGTGCCTTAGACCACCAGTCATCCCTTACTTGTGACTCTAAATGGGGACAGGTGCTAAGAGTAAGGGAGGGGACCTGGCAACTTTAGGCCTCAGGTGAGTCTGGTGTGCCGACCCCCATCTCTTGCCAACAAGGATTAAGCAAATCCTAAGGAAAGCAGGGAAGGAAGAGTTGGGGATGATGGTGCTGGCAGCTGCAGGAAAAGGCTTGAACTTAGAGTAGTAGTCTATTCATTGAACGCAGTATGGAAGGGCCAGAGGGTGTTCAAGCGGGGCAAAGCAGTTTGCCTCGGTTGTGCACACAGCTGGGGCAGGTCTGGAGACGTTTCCTCCTGGGACCATGGGGACCCATTAGCTACTTGAGAGTTGGAGGTGGGACCTGGAGGTGGTGCCTGCTGGAAGCTGTCCTGTGGACAATTGTAGAGCCCAGGAGAGGCAAAACGGAGGCAGGGATCACATGGTGAGTAGTGGGCGGAACCAGGGATGGGGGAGCCTCGGAAGGCACAAGTAGGAGTGGCCTAGGCTAGTGGTGCTGCTGGAGACTGGACCCAGGCAGGCCAGGAGGGCATGAAGGGGGCGGGGACCTTGTTGGGAGGGGCTCTGGTGGAGGCGGGGCTGGATGGAGCGTGTGCGTCTTTCTGCAGCCTTGGGCGCAGCTCCTTCAGCACCCTGTAAATCCTTTCCTGTCCCAGAGCTGTCGCGCGCTCCGGCCTCACCATGCTCCTGCTGCTGTGGCTGTGCCTGGGGCTGCCCCTCTTCTCGGAGTCCCAGGAAGAGGCTCGGGGGGAGCTGGGATGACACCTCAGAGCAAGTAAGTAGGAGAGCTGTGGGAGCCCGCGGCTCTGTCCCTTCCCTCCGCCTCCCTGGGCCGCGTGGCTTCTGGACAGGCTGCTATTGACCAGAGGGATGCAAGGAAGGGAGGCATCGCCTCCTTTTCGGTCTGCACCATCCCTCTCTCCAGGCTTCGGCTTGGGAGCTTTCCCATCTGTTGGTCACTTGTGCCTCTTCTAAGTGGTTCTTCGCGCCTGCCTCTCACCAGTTTGGCGCATAGTTGTGAATAGAACGTCAAAGCCCTGGAGAATCAAATGTTCTTGTTGGCTCTCGCGGTCGACCAGATTCCTATCCGTCCTTGCAAATTTCTGAGACGGAATCCCGCCTAGAAGTTCATTACAAGTTTCTGTCTCAGACTTGTGAAGTAGTTAGCTGCGAATGCTCATCCAGGGAGAAAAGAACTTATTAAAAGTCACAAACTCCTGGAAACTTCAACTCTCTCCACCTTTTGAACATAGGAGAACTCAATCTCTCCTCCCCCCCCCCCCGTTCTTATCAATTGTGAATAGTTTACTGAAAGTCCCATGATTAAGCCAGTACCGAGAACTAAAACAGCTCAGGTACTCTATGCACGTGTTAGCTTTTGTTTTAATCAGCTTAACCTCACAGGTGAGCACAACTCTGCCAATGAAAAGGTTCAGTTCAGTCCAGACCACTGGAAAGTTCTATGAAAACCATCAAACAGATTCGCACCAACAACCCTGTGAAGATCCTGAAGAAGAAGGGACTGTTTCACAGAAAGTGAATCTTGATGTTGACACAATCATTTAAAAGACGAACTGTTTAGTTTAAAGCATGTTTTCACGGATGAGGAGGACATAAGCAGGCATATTTCTTACCAGCTTTGTTTGGAAATTAGACCTGGAAGATGGAATCCACACCTTTATCTGTGGTTATTTTCATGAGGGGTCCACTTTAAGAAGGTGTTTATCTTTAAGGTGCGAAATGTGGGGCTCCCTTTAGGGACTATCAAGAGTAGCCAGCGAAGTCCCAAGAGCTTTTGTGGTGGTGTAGGAAACATCTAGGCTTTAGGTTCAGAGAGAGGTTTGGTCCCCACTCTGCCACTTACAGCTGTGTGACATGAACTAGGCAAACTCTAGTTTTGAAAGCAACAGTTTTTCTCTCCAAGGCATGCTGTTCTACGAAGCTAAGGCTGGCCAGGCACTTGCTTTTAGCCCAGGCTGGCTTTGAACTCACAGTCTTCCAGCCTGAATCTTCCAAATGCTGGAATTACAGATATGCACCATGTCTGGTTTGCAATTTTATTTGCACATTCTAGTAAGGGTTTAACTAGCTGGGTTAGGACCTGGTATCCAGTAGGTACTCCATAAATGGGAGATATTTTAGTGGTTGGTATTTGGCTGACTAGGTTTGAATCCTAAGCTTGCCAACAGTATTGACACTTGACACAGGCTTGCAGAGCGGAATTGCTAAGGGAAGGAATTCAGGGTAAAGATCTTGAAGCTTGGAGAGGGTGTAAGGGGAAAGGAGTGTGGGAAGAACTGAAACAAAGAATCTTTCTGAGGACTAGCAATGGATTCAAGCCATGCTGTCTACACAACTGCAAGTGAGCTTAACACTTTCCAAAGTTTCCTTCTTAGGAAAACATGGATTTGGCTCATTTTGGAGATTTCCTGTTGTCTTCAGTCCATGGCAATATTTTTATTGAAAATGACTCAATCAGACAAAAATAAAATAAAAAGCTGCTATGGAAATTTGGGATTTCCACATTCTATTCATACTGTATTTTAAATTGTGTGTGTGTGTGTGTGTGTGTGTGTGTGTGTGTGTGTTGCTGAGAGTATGTGACTGGCGTTGGCTGAGGATGTGTGACCCAGTGGTAGAATGCTTGCCTGGGATGAATGAGACCTCTGAGTTCCATCCCAAGAACTGAAAGATTTGATATAGTAAAATCTTAGAAAGAATCTCAGAATGTAGTCATTGTTCTACTCTTAATAATTATAACCTTTGAAGTTATGTGTAAACTTAGTTTGTAGAATGTAATAAGGGGTCTGGGGAGACAACTGGTTCAGAAAAATGTTTACTTACAAGCAAGAGGACCTGAGTTCAATTCCCCAAACCCAACATAACAAAAAAAAATAACAACAAATAAGCAAACAACAAAAGGAGACAGGCACTGGTGGCCAACTTGTAATCCTAGTGACAGAGAGGTAGAGACAGGCAGCTCACTGGGACTTGTGGCCAGACAACCTAACTTGCTCAGCACATTCCAGGCCAGTGACCCTATCTCAGAAACTGATGGGCAGTGCCTGAGGAATAACACCATTTCACACACATATGGTTAATTACACACACACACACACACACACACACACACACACACACACACGTATATAACTTTGATGGAGGTTGTAATGCAACTGAACATGCTTATCAACTTTCAGAGAGTTCTGATCATTTACTTGAAATTAGAAACAATACTGTTTGTACCTTAGCTTCAGTGTCCTTCCTCCACCCCCACCCTCTACTGTATCTGTAAATTATATGACTTTTAGTGGAGTGGCCACTAAAAACAGTGGTTTTCTATCTTCTGTGTTCTTGGGAAGTTGAATATCAGAAATGTGGCTCCTCTCCCACCAATGTTGCTGAATGGGAAGGGATGGGGCAGGTGACAGGAGGCCCACAGTTTGAGTAATGCTGCCTTAAAAGATGCTGACAGGAGCCAGGTAGATGGCTTAGTGGGTACAAGTGTGTGTCACCAAACTTGATGACCTGAGTTCCATCTCCAGGACCCACATGGTAGAAAGAGAGAACTGACTCCCACAATTTGTCCTCTGACCTCTACAAGTTTGGCATGGCCCCACACAGAGTAAGTAAATAATTGTAATAAAAATAATAAAATATTAAAAGAGGAATATGCCAGGGAATCAGTATTGGAACTGAAGTGATATGAAATAAATTTGCTTCTATCTGCTGATTTATCTACTCTTTGTCTTCAATTTATATGGTTTTTGAAAATAAGGATAAAGTTATTACATAGGCAGTTCTCAATAAAAAACAATATCAGTTACTGAGTGTACTAAAGCTCTCCAAATGCCAGGAGGTTTATTTAAAGCAAAAAGAAGCAATGAAATATTATGGTTAAAAATAGTCCAAGTACAGCCAGGCTATGTGGGGTTCAAATCTGGGCCCCACTACTTCCTGGCTGTATATTCTTGGTCAAGTAACTTAACCTCTCTGGATTTCATTTTCATACTGTGAGCATAAAGTTGTTAATAGTTCCTAGCTCACAGACAGGGATGGACCTGTGTTTGGGGACAGAAGGTAACTCTGAAGGAGTCCTTTAAAAGAAAAAATATGAAATTATGAAAAATGAGATGCTAAAGAAGCCTTTCATTTGGTAAATGTGTAACAAGTTGCACAGTTTTGTCAACAGGACACTCACCTTAAATGTCCAGTTTCAGGGACTGGCTACAAGCAAAGGCTTCTCAAATCTCTATCACTGTCTAAATAATATGATGTGAAACAGTACTTACCTCACATTTCCAAGGCTGTGTTTGATTTCTAGCACCACATCATCATCATCATCATCATCATCATAATAATAATAATAATAATAATAATAACTATAACTATAATAACAACTATATAAATACAACAACAACTATAAAATCAACAATAAACATTTCATTATTTATTTATTTTCATATTTATTTGTGTGTGTGTGTGTGTGTGTGTGTGTGTGTGTGTGTATCAGAAGAAAACTTGCAGTATCAGTTTTTTTCCAGGGGTCAAACTCTGAGCCATTTCACCAGCCCAGTAATAAATTTTATTTTGGTTTTTCGAGGCAGGGTTTCTCTGTGGCTTTGGAGGATGTCCTGGAACTAGCTCTTGTAGATCAGGCTGGTCTCGAACTCACAGAGATCTGCCTGTCTCTGCCTCCCAAGTGCTGGGATTAAAGGCATGTGCCAGCATTTACACTAGCATGCTATATCAGGGGATCTAGGAGGACACATCAGCAACAGCAGCAGCCAAGATGTGACACTGTAGATGTTACAGCCACTAAGTTGATCACTCCCTATGCACATTTAAAAGGCAAGCCTTTCCTGCTCCTCTCTTTCTTTTCCCTCTGCTCTGGTTTGGAGGTTACCTCTACACCTCCCCCCAATAATCCTCCCATGTGAGTTTTGTTGTATTGTGTGACTTTGTGATGCTCCTTGATTCCAACCTGCTAAGGTTGCCTTCCCCTGATAAACTACTACAGTGTGTGTAGTACAATCTAGTTAAATCCACAGATGCCATACCAAGGTCTCAATGAAACTGATCTACAGAGGACAGCCATCCAGGAGAGGCTATCTGGGAGAAGCTGGGCCCTCAGGCTTATATACATGCAGATCACAGAGCTCACGAGTGCTGAGTCCCAAAGCTAGGGCTCCCAATGAAACTTCCAGACTGATAACTTTGCCTAAAGCTCCCGACACAGATTCTGCTCAGCACACGCTGGTCCTAAACGTCCATCCTGGTGATCAATTTCCAAACTTCCCAAACAATAAACTCCTCATAAAGTTGCACCCATTACCATGTCTTCTCATTTGAATACGACAGCCATTTCTTTTAGCTTTCTATTAAGTGAAGCCAGTACTTTCTCTGCTAAGCCTACAGTACAGCTGCAGGCTGTGGGCCTCTCCATAATGCCTCCCTTATGTATGGGGTGTGGTTTCTGAGATGGAACTGTAAGACTGAATGGGGAAAGAGATATTGTGGGAGACATTCCAGAGATGTGCTCACTCCCAAATTGACCGTATCTCATGTCTTGAGGGTGGAAAGGAAGGGTGGGGGCTGCCTGGGACTGGGTGATGAATTATAAGTGACTTTGTGCTCCTAACTAGCATGTTCTCAAGATTGTGGGTGCTCAGCTGTAAAGAATGTTTGATCGATGTGCAGTCTGAATTTGGCCAGCAACACCAGCAAAGCTGCTGCGTCCAAGACTGGTTTAGAAGAATGAGGCACAGGGTGCTC